GTATATCCTTAATTTTCATTCTATGATTTACTGTGAAATGTTTCTAGATTTCTTCACGTGGTTTCTACTGAACAACAGGGATTATGGTATCGCGGCGTGGTTCAACGCAAGAAAGAGGTAAAATGAAGAGTCCGTGAAGAAGAAGGAATAAAGAGAAAGAGTATAAACAAACAGGTGTCCATCATAGCGAGCCCAAGACGTCACTAAAATGCAAAAGGACACAAATCCTCATTTTAGCTTCGAATCTTAAGGGTCTAGTGGCCATCTGCTGCCTCTTCCTGATCCTCAGCGGCCTCTACTTGCTCAGCTTGCTGCCTCTCGTTCTCGGTGACTGGGGACTCGGTGGCGGCCGCCTCATCAGCTGCTGTTGTAGTTTCAGCTGCAGTCTCGGTGGCGGTCTCAGTGGCAGCGGTCTCAGTAGCAGTGTCGACTGCGGTTTCGGTGGCGGTCTCTGTTGCTGCTGTCTCTGTTGCGGTGGCGGTGGCGGTAGCTTGACCATTGCCGTTATGGCCTCCCCTGTTCCTTCCTCTGCCATTACCGTTTCCGTTACCCCTACCATTGCCATTACCGTTGCGGTTGGCATTCGCTCCTCGTCCTTTACCGTTGCCACCCTGGAGAGTATTGGTTAGCTAAGTATAATGTTTACGTGGTGAGAAACGTACTGCAGTGACCGTTTCAGTTACTGTAAGTTCTGCTGCCGTTTCGGTAACGGTTACAGTCTACAATAGGAGTCGGTCAGCGATACCCATAAACAAGAAAACGAGTTCGTACCACTGTGGCTGCGCCGTCAGTAGCAGTTTCCGTGGCTGTAACATCTGTAGCAGTTTCCGTGGCAGTCGCCGTATCCTCAGTAGCAGTAGCGGTCTCAGTAGCAGCAGTATCTGTAGCAGTCTCTGTGACCTCGGCACTGTCTGTTGCAGCTGCGGTTTCAGTGGCTGCAGTTTGGGTGGCGGTCTCCTCAACAGTGGTAGTCTCTCCAGCGGCAGCAGTCTCAGTGGCGGTCTCCTCAGCGGCGGTAGTTTCAGTGGCAGTGGCCTCTGCTGATTCGGTAGCGGTAGCCTCTGCTTCGGTTGCCTGTGGAATCGAAAGTTAGAATAGATACGACTGAAGGGGGTTTCATGTATTTACCGTATCGACCAGGGTAGTCTCTTCGACTTGCTAAATTGCCCGTCAGCTCGTCGAACTCAAGGGGTTGAAACCCAATAGCATACCTGATTGTTGCCATTGCCATTGCCTCGAGCCTTTCCGTTTCCTTTTGGTGGGTTTGCGGCCTGGATGCCTCTGTGATGATCTGGGCCTCCTGCAGCCCTAATGCCGGCAGGTGGCTCTGGGTGAGGCCCATTGCCTAGGTGAGGGCCATTGCCTATAAGGTCCCGAAGAGACGTCACGGCCGGGAGCTGGCGTCTTACAGGGAGTGCATGAGTTTGCAAAAGCCCTGAAGCAACGATAGAGAGAATAATAGTGGTGAGATGCATGGTTAAAGAAGAAAGTTGGGTTTATAAAGGGTTGTAGAATGCGAAAGTGAAAGTGTAACGATAAGAATATGCAAAGTGTGGTTTAA